AGTTTGCTCTTCTAGTCAAAAGCAAGAAGGTGATTGGTAGAGCTAGAAAAAAATAACTACAATAAAGAAGGAAGGAAGGAAGGAAAGAAAGAAAATAAAGGTTCTAGTGTATGTTTCAGGGAGCTCTGGTGGCCTAGTGGATAAGGAATTGTGCTGAAAACTGAAAGGTCGGGAGTTCAGATCCACTAGCTGCTTCATGGGAGAAAGTCAGGCCACCTCTGAAAACCCACTGAAGGGTTAGCTGTGAGTCAGCTCTGACTTGATGGTAATGAGTCTGGGGGTTTGATTTAGTTGGTTTGCTGGGGGCTTTTTAGTATATATTCCAATACTCTGAAACAAAGAGTCACTCTCAGATCAGGATGCTTGTTTGAGGGGGAAACAGAAGTGGAGATTTTACCTTCTATTGCTTCACTTTGTTTTTTTAAAAAATTAAGCATTTATTATTATTTGAGCGAACGTTTGCAAAGTGCATTGGTTTTCCATTCAGCAATTAATACACAGTCTGTTTCATGACATTGATTACAATCCCCGCATCCTAACAGCATTCTTTTTTTTTTTTTTGTGCTGTCTGAATTGGGTTTATTTGTTCCTAACAGCATTCTTCCTTCTTCCTCTCTGTGTTTCTTGTTTCCATTCACTCTTCTTTCCTATCCCTTTCTGCCTTCTGAGCTCGATTCCTGATTCTGATCTGTAGTGCTTGATTTTCTAAAGAATGCTTTTCTTCCTGGTGTCATCAGTCATCGTATAGGCCTGAGGACTGTTTGGCTGGAAGTTGAATCATAAGGATGATTTTAGTTTCAGGCTTAAAGGAGGACTATGTGAGTGACCTAATCTCAGGAGTTCTATCTGTTTCTATCACATCAGTAAGCCTAGTCTCTTCTATGATTTGAGTTTTGGTCCACATTTTTCTCCCACCTTACCAGGGAGCTTTTATTGTGGTCCATGTCAGAGTAAATGACAGTCATAGCCTGGCACCATCTAACTCTTCTGGTCTCAGGGCTGAAGTGTGCGCGTGGTTGTCTGGGCTCTCTATTTCAATAAAAGTGCGTGATTTTCTTTTTACTATACCAATGTCGCTCACACAAAAAAGAGAAGATATATATCTAAAATAAAGAAATGAAACATGGTTTGTTATTTGTAGATTAATAATTTGGTTTTCCCTAAGATTTTTTTCCCCTCTTGGTGGATGGGGGTAGAATCAGCAGCACAATTCTCTACACATTACATCGCTAGAGCTACCTCTTTTCAACAATACAGGAATGTTTAACTAAATTATAGTATGTCCTATAATGAATTCATTATTTCAAGCAAAACATGAGGCCATCAAAGCACTTTGTATAAATGTATGTTGATATTGTTGTTGTTAGGTGGTGTAGAGTTGGAACCTCCTCATAGCTGGCCTTCCAATGTGCTTACAGAATCTCTAAGTGGTGTAAGATATGTGTCTGTAAAAGACGTGGTTTCCATCTTCCTCTGTTAGAAGAACTGGTGTATTCAAATAGCCTGCTTGTGTGTTGGCAATGCAACTCGTTACCACTACGCCACCAGAGCTTGTATTATCTATTAATATGAAAAGGTATCTGTGATCCAATGTTTCATCGACCAAGCAAGATAGAAAACAAGAAGGAGAGAAGAAATCCTTTTTACCCCTTCTAGTTGTTTTATTCACATGAAATAAAATGAACATGATGCAAAATGAACCATTTTAAAGTGTACAGCTCTGTGGCACCTAATCCACTCACAATATTGAGTCAACCATCCTGTTTCTGAACATTTTAATGGAGACCCTGTGACCATTCTCCCTGGTTTAACTACATTTCCCTAATGACTAATGATGTCAAGCATCTTTTCATGCGCTTACTGGCCCTTTGTGTACCTTCCTGTTTAAATCCTTTGTCCACTTTTTATTGGCTGCTTTTTTTTTTATTATGGAATTGTATATAGCCTTTAGTATTAATTATACCTCAACATAAGGAAAGCAAACATTCTTATAACTGGATCAATAAACAAAATAAGGATTAACAGAGAAAAGACTGAAGTTGTCAAGGATTTAATTTCACTTGGATCCACAATCACCATTCGTGGAAGGAGGATTCAAGAAATCAAATGAAATTTGAACAACACAAGGTATTAGAGTGGGAAAATTTGCTGCCAAAGATCTCACTAAAGTGCTAAAGAGCAAGGATGACACTTTGAAGACCAAGGTGTGCAGGACCCAATTTTCAATTGCTTCATACAAACACCAAAGAAGAATTGATGCCTTTGAATTTTGGTGTTGGTGAAAAATGTTGACTACAGCCAGGAAATCAAGAGATGAATTTCATTGGGAAAGTCAGCTGTCAGGGACATCTCCAGAGTCCTGAAGAGCAATGATGCCAGGCTGGAGACTAAGGTGCACCTGATTCTGGCTATAGTCTTCGCAGTTGCATGCTATGCATTGGAGACTTGGACAATGACTTGAGATGATAGAAAGAGAACTGATGCCTTTGAGCTGTGATGGTGGAGAAGAGTGCTGAATATACCATGGACTGCTAGGAGAACAAACAGCTTTGTCCTGGAGAGGGTGAAGCCGGGCTGCTCCTTGGAGTCAAAGATTCTGAGGCTTCGTCTGAGATACTTTGGGCATGTTACCAGAAGGGACCAGTCCTTGGAAAGGGATATCATGTTTGGGAGAGTGGAGGGACAGTGCAGGAGAGGAAGACCCTCGATGAGATGGATCGATTCTGTGATTGGGGTGGTGGGAGTAGGTGTGTAGGAGACGGCGAGGTTGGCACAGGATAGAGCAGGGTTTAGGGCTCTTCTACACAGGGTTGCTATAAGTCTCAAGAGACTCAACGGCACATAACAACAACACCACCACCACCATGAATTGACAAAAGAACAAATTTGTCTTGGAAGAAATGAAGCTATGGCACTCCTTAGAAGCAAGAATGATGAGACCTCGTTTTACATACTTTGGGCCCATGGAGAGGAACATCATGATTGGGAAAGTAGAGAGAATGACCAAGAGGAAGAGTCACAATGAGATGCATTGACAGTGACTGCAATAAAGGATGTGAGGATGACCCTGGACGATTTAAAAAATAGGATTGAAAAGGTATGTTTCCATAACCTAGGTTGGTTTTTTACTTCCTTGATAGTGCTTGTTGTTGTTGTGCGCCATCAAGTTGGAACTGACCCATAGCTGACTCTCCAGTGGATTGTCAGAGGCAGCTTAATCGCACAGGAGTAGATTGCCCGTCTTTCTTGCATGGAGCGGCTGGTGGATTTGGACCACATACGTACCTTTGAGATTGCAGCGCAGCTTCTTATCACTAGGCCACCAGAGCTCTCTCTCTTTTTTTTTTTCAGAGCTCTCTCTTGCCACTAGGTTGATAATAAAAAAGAAATAACTTCTTTCCATCCTCTTTAGACGGTAAGGCTTGAGTCAGGATGGGCTAGCAGGGACGTCAAAGGAGCATCAACAGACTGTGGTCTGGAATCCTGGCTCTAGAAGGCAAGTGCTTTCTCTCGTTGAAGCATTGTCTCAGAAATGGGCTCTCTCGGGCCTGCCTGAGGCCAAGAATCTTGCATAGAGCCTCATCAAGGGAGAAACACAAGAGACAACTCTGGGGCCATACACTGGGTCATGGGAAAGAGAGGAAAAGATGGCGGGTAAGACCTCCTGGAACTTTGACCTGGGTCGTGCAAACAATTAACCTGCTTGACTACGAACCATAAAAAGGCTGGAATCTGGAGGCACCTTGGAAGAAAGGCCTGGCGACCCAATTCCAAAAGGTCTTGCAAACCCCATTTTTTTGAAGGAAAATTACTTTTCATCAAAGAAGATTCTGAATCAGTGTTGTCCTAAAGCAACGCCAGTTATTCCCCAGTGGTTTGAACTGCCATTCCTTTTCCCCCCAATTATTATTATTTTTCTTGTGTGTACCATCAAATCAGATCTGACTGGTACAGGAGGAGATTGCCCTTCCTTCTCCAGCAGAGCATCTGGTGGATTAGAACTGTGTACCTCTGGGATTGCAGAGCACCTTCTTGCCAGTAAGCCACCAGAGCTCCCTTTGAACTGTCACTCTTTTGCATTGTTTCTGAATTAAGCGTGGTGATGTTCTCTGAGTTTACCAAGTTTGCATTTTGGTGAGTTGAAAATGGAAATTCTCATGTTGTGACATTTGTGCATCTTTGAAAGGAGCTGAAGTACTGGACCTCTAGGGTGTCTAGGGGGTTTCTGAATGCACACAGTAGGGGGAAGACCGGAGGGGATCCAGGGGAGACTCATCTGAACCTGGGAGCCTGGGTTCTAGTCTACATTATGCTTCCCCAGCCTTTCAGTTTTGTTTCTGTCCTGAACTTTGAGGCAGGGCTTGGGAAAAGGAAACTGAAACTGAATCTGAAATGGAACCTGACAGCAGCCTCGGATTGGCTCCCTTCTCCCTGACGCTGTGCCTGACGTGTACTGTTTCTATCCCTAAAAAGCAGGGGCTGTGAGACCAAGAGAGGGGGTGACAGCCAGAGGCAGCAAACTCCTTGGTGACTGCAGATACACACGGAACCCACAGCCATGGTGAGGCAGGTTTGAGGTGGGAGGCAGGTGGCTGGCAGGTGGGCTTGGTACCAGCTGATTCTCTCTTTCCCCAGGGATGAGCACCTGCCTGAGATGCTCCAAAGTGTTTAGAGGTTATTCTCCAGTGTGAGAAGAGACTGGGGCTCATGGTGAAGTCAGGATTTGAGTCTTGGTTGGTCAGCTCATCCTGGTAGCCAACCCTGAAGAGGAGTACAGAGTGCAGCATCTTAGTGAGGGAGAGGGCAGGATGGCAGGGGGGACATCCCTCCTTCTAGCAGTGCATCCTTCCATGCCCCCCCCAACTGGGGCCCCTTAGCTGGTGGGTGGGCAGGAGAGAGGAGTGACAAGTGTCCCAGGCTTTAGGAACCTGGATTAACACTAGGTGCAGGCTGGCCCCCAGGACCAGTGCCTACTCTCTGATTCACTTGATGTTCTGCAGGGCTGGGAACTGAAGGTGAAGATGGTGAGTGGGGAGATCATGGTGCCCATGACAGACTCTATGCAACTATCAAATTTGAAGAAGCTGCTTGCACAGAAGCTAGAAGTCTTTCCCTTCCAACTGCGACTGGCCCACCTGGACGGCCAAGCACTGCAGAATGATGTGCCCCTTACCAGGCAGGGCCTGGGTCCCAGCAGTGCAGTCTCGCTGATAGTGACAAATTGTGAGCCCGTGACCATCCTGGTGCACAACAAGGGCCGAAGCAGGCCCTACACAGTGAAGCTGACCGACGCCGTGGCCAAGCTTAAGCAGCAAGTGTGCCAGCAGGAGAAGGTGGAAGTTAACCTCTTCTGGCTGGCCTTCGAGGGGAGGCCCATGGAGGACCATCGGATGCTGGGGGATTATGACCTCACTCCCCAGTGCACTGTGTTCATGAATTTTCGGCTTCGGGGTGGCAGCATAGGCCTCCAGGGGCTCTGAGATTCCTGCCCTCCTGAGGTGCCTGGACAAGGAGATGGTGGGGAAGCCTGACTTCAAGATTTGTCGCTTTCAAGTACCAGTAATAAACACTGATGCCAAGTGAACTCTCAGCCTCCTGCCTTGTCCTAGTTCTTGTGTTTGTTTGTCCCTCTCCTTCTTGATGATGAGGAAGGGCAGGAGAGTTAGGGGAGGGGACCTAGGGTCACTGGAGGTGACCAGGTTAGGGTTACCAAGAGGGTTCCAAGAGAGAGGGTTCAGAGCCTGGTGGTGGGCTCAAACAGTGAAGAAATTGAAGCTATGTCCCAGGTAAATTTAAGACATTAACTTCTAAAGAAGCAGAAGGAGGCATGTGGAGTCCGTGTCGGTGAGCAATCTCCACCCCCACACCTGAGAAGGCGAGGGTGGGTCCCTGGGGTCTTCCCCGGGTGGCCAAAAGGGAGACAAGTTCACACCAACTGGGGCTGGGTATTCTTTGGCAGAAATGACCAGCACATGCTGGCCTAGGGGAGGGTTTAGGCAGGGGCTGGATGAGGGCTGAGCTGACCAGTGGGGACAGTATCCACTCCCCAGAAGAAAAGAAACACATTGTGGAGAGATGGGACACTGGAAGGGAAACAATCACAAACTATACAGATGAGCTTGTCCCAGACTGAGGGTGTGGTCCTGGAATGGGGGGTTCCCAGGGTCCAGAGAGTGATGAGCATATCTTAGGGGGCACTGGAATGAGGGATACCTCTATCCAGGGGGAGAAGCTTATCCTAGATGGGGGTGAGGGGACCTGGAATGGGCATGTCCTATGGTCCAAAGGGATAAGCTTGTCCTAAACTGTGGCTCAGTAGTTAAGCAATCAGCTGCTAACAGAATGTTTAGCTGTTCGAATCCACCAGCTACTCAGTGAGTGGAAAAGGAGGCAATCGGTTTCCACAAAGATTTGCACCTTTGGAAACTCTTCTGGGACGGTTTGATTCTGTATAACAGGGTCTCTATGAATCAGAATAGATTTGAGAGCAATGTGGTCTTTTCTTTAAAAAAATCAGGGAGTTTCCTTGGTCCAGGGGCACAAACTTGCTCCAGACTGATGGACACTGGAGTGGGAGCTCTCATAATCTAGGGAGACAAACCTATCCAAGATTAGTGGGCATTGAAATGGTGGAGCTTTCACGGACTGGCAGACTACTTGATGCTGATTTGAAGGCACAAGAATGGGTAGCTCCCACAATCCAGGGTATGAGTTTATACCAAATCTCTCTTTCTCTCTCATTGCTGTTGAGGGAGCTCTGTGGGTAAAAGGTTAGTAAGTAAAAGGAATTGTGCTGCCAATTCAAAAGCAGCTAGTTGGAATCCACTAGCTCCTCCTCAGGTGAAAAATGAGCCATCTGCACCTGTGCAATCTACAGCCTCCTAGAACCTGTCGGAGGGTGAGCTATGGGGTTGATTCTTATTCCACAGTAAAGTTGTATTTGTAGGTCTTATAAGCCACCTCGTCAAAGGTGACTCGCAACTGACCCTCCAGTGAGTTTTCAGAGGATCTAAAATCATGTAGAAGGAGACTGCCAGGAGCATCTAATACACCCCCTCCTCGTAGGATACTTCAAGGTGCTAAGGAGCAACAATGTCAGTTTAAAGACCAAGGTGTTTCAAGTCATGGCCTTTTCAATTACTTGCTATGTACCTGAAAGTTGGACAATGAATAAGGATGACAGAAGAATTGTTGCCTTTGAATTGTGATGCTGGAGAGAAGAGTACTGAATATCCATGAAATGCCAAAAGAACAAATACTTATGTCTTAGAGAAAGTGCAACTAGTGTGTTCCTTAGAGGTCAGAACGGTGAAACTTCATTTCACATGGTTTGGGCATGTTGTTAAGAGGAGCTGGTCTTTAGAAAAGAACATCATACTTGGAAAGGTGGAGAGTCAGTGATAGGAAGACCTTCAAGGAGATGGGTCAACACGGTGACTGTGACAATAGACTCGCGTGATCAGGGATGATGAGGCCAGCACAGGACAGGGCAAGGTTCAGATCTGCTGTTCAGAGTCCCTCATGAATTGAAGTCAACTCGATGGCATCTAATAGCAACACAAGATACTTTTTCTGCTGTCTCTCTTGTACCAGTTTCCCGGAAGAGTCCCTGTGAGCCAAGCTGAGTCAGCCTTGGGCTCTGGTGAGATGAGGAGAATGAAGGAGCTCAGCAGGGGAGGAAGCTTTTTGGGTCAGACCTGCTGGTCCTGAGGAGCAATCAGGCTTCATGATCTCAAATCCCAGGGGGATCTAATCTGGGGAGTCCATAACTTGGCCGAGGAACCTGAGTCCAGTTGTGCCATGGCAGCGGTATTATATATGAGTGCAGCAGTGGGTTGTTTTGACTGCAGCCTCTACCCTTTCCAAACTCCTTGCGCATGCTCAGCACAGTCTTGCGCTAACTGCTCCCTATGTGAGCACAGACCTGGGCACCCTATCGTGAGAGTTGGAGCTAGACTAGGATCCCCAGAAGAGGGTCCTTCTGTCCACTAAGCTTGAGATGTGATTCTAGCTTAAGCGAGGAATGTACAGGAAACTCAGATTTGGAGCTCAAACTGGGAAGCAAGGAAATCTCTCCCTCCAGGTCACTCTCTCACTTGGACTCTCTGGGCCTCAGTTTACCCTCTGTACCTAACCAGGTGAAGCTGGAGAAATGGGTCGGATAAGGGGGCGTGGCGGGTGGACAGGCTCAGAGCTTGCAGGCGCAGGACAGCTGGAGGCGCCCTCCGCTCTGCAGTGGGCTGAGCGCGCCGCGGGGAGGTGGGCGGGCTGCGCCGCGACCTGGCCAATCACCTCACCTCTTGTCTGCATTGGCCCCGCCAGGCAAGGGGCGCGGTCTGCTACGGCCGCCTCTTCTGCTAGACGGGCCTGCGGCCGGGTCCCGGCCCTCTTGTTAGAATCTCTCCCATTCCAGAGAGAGGCTGGGGTCCCTCAGTGAGCTCTACCTGCGGGTCAGGGACGTGGGGAGCAGTTTCG